CATTGGTACTAGTGCAAGGATTAACTCCAGTGCAGCAGGATTCCCCACTCTCCTCTTATGGCAACTGGCCAACGCCACCCCCAAATCCACTCCAGAGGATTAAGGGAACTCTGAGAACAGATTTAGGGGGCACACAGGGGAAGGAGAGGGAGAAACCATTCCATTGTGCAAGGACGAAACTAGGCTTTATTTTACCCGGGTCAAAGACCCAGTTTGGCACACTCCCACACACATTTGCATACACACACACACACACACACACACACACGGGCTGGGAGTCTCAATGGTGCCCCCCTGGAGGCTTCACCGTGGTAAAAAAATCTGGCTAGCCACCCCCCATAGCTACAGCTCTGCATTGTGAAAGGATAGGGGGAAGTGGGGCAGATTGATGCAGAAAAATTCAATCTCATATTTTATGTAACAAAATGTGTCAAATAATAAAAAAATTGCTTTATCAATATTTGCTAATCAATATTATAATAGCAATCAAAAGAACAATTAAAGTTAGACGATAATGAGAATATAATGACATGAGTGAAAAATGGGTTTTGTATCATTCTGCCCCACCTACGGGACACTTTGAAACAGTGGATGGGGCACTTTCATACAAAGCGTAAATTGTATGAGAATGATAAATTATTGTAATTTATTTACAAAATTGTAAATTTACAGAAATTTAATGAAAAAACAATTTTTATTGTGAGAGATCATAACCAGCCTTACAATTCGTTACTTAAAAACTAAATTACGTATCAAAACTAACAGTGTTTCACATATATCATAGACCATGGCAGGTTTTCTTACCAATACATCAAAACTTATATTAATCTTTCCTCAAACACCTATCCATTAAAAAAAAAAAAGTTTGGAAAAAGTTTAAAAAGTATGAGAACTCACATTAGGTAGCCAAAAAATAGTAATTTAAACAAAATGCTTATAAAAAATAAGATAATTAACGTTTAGCTTCTATTGCACATTATATCCACTGAAGTCAAAAGAAAAAGTATAAAGAGATGATGTTCGAGATGTGCCATTTGATAAATATGGTTTTGGCAACTGCAAAACAACATCCTTGAAATCAACTCTTGCCTTATCTTCTACAATGGGGAAGACAAACATACAAGATCCTGGTTTTTCCCTGAGATATGACACTTGATAATCTGTCATATTATATTTAGAAATGGCTTTGGCCACGTAGTAAACAAGTGTTTTTCTTTTCAAATTTCATGAGTAGGAAATCAGTTTAGAGATTTCATGCAAACTTGTATATTGGGGCACTATTGTACACTAGCGGGGCACTTTTATACGTATCAATGTGCCCCATGTCTTAGTGTATCAAAGTGCCCCAACAGACATTTTCAGAAAACTAACAGTTATTAATAAAACCACTGAACTTATTTAAAAATCAAGTGTAATCCTGATTACTGAGTGGGATAACTTACCTTTGGTATTTTTAAATCTTAACTAAAAGACGTAAAACAGCGTTGAAACACTTTTACATTTCACGTAATTTTTTAGTTGGCTGCGCTAAAAACATACCTACTCTCGTCAAACACCAAGAGCGAACTGGCGGGCGGCGCATTCGCAACTATCATACTCACACATATATAGACAGGTTTTAGTGATGTCACGACACGAATAACGTTTCTCGATATTGAAATATTGTTGGTGTATCAATGTGCTCCTTGCATCAATGTGCCCTGCCTCCCCCCTATATCCTTGCACTAATACAACATTGATCTTCCTGCTCCTTTGAATACAGCTCTTCACCTTAGGTCCAGCCTAAGCCTATATATGCCTACTCAGTAAGGTGCTCCACTGATTTCAGTAGTGCTTACTACAGCTAAGTTAGTAGAACTTAATCTAGGATATAAGTCCCACTGATTTCAAGGGTGAGGGGAATTGCAACTAACTTAGTTTGGGTTCAACTTTCTGAAGCAGAGAAGCAAATGACACCCCCTCCCCATGTTAGCACAATCTGATGAATCAAGTTATTTTGGCACCTGAGGCAGAAAATCATCCAAACGCCCTTACACCCACTTTGTGGCAGTAAAAATACAGAAAGTTAAATACAGTGGTACCTCGGGTTAAGTACTTAATTCGTTCCAGAGGTCCGTTCTTAACCTGAAACTGTTCTTAACCTGAAGCACCACTTTAGCTAATGGGGCCTCCTGCTGCCGCTGTGCCGCCGCTGCACGATTTCTGTTCTCATCCTGAAGCAAAGTTCTTAACCCGAGGTACTATTTCTGGGTTAGCAGAGTCTGTAACCTGAAGCGTATGTAACCCGAGGGACCACTGTACTGCTTAAGGCAGCTGCCTCTCTCTGCCTAGTGTAAGGCACTCTCTTCAAGAGTTGGTTGATCTGCAATAACTAGCCAATTATGTATTTAGTTACTTGTCACTAAAAGGGTCTCCTGCTGACCTCTGCACCCTGGATATTTCCTAAAGACAGAGAAGTGGGTAGGGCCAGCCCACATCTGTTTACAATAACTAGCATGACCACCATAGCTGTCAACTTTCCCCTTTTCTTGCGAGGAATCCTATTCGGAATAAGGGAATTTCCCTTAAAAAAAGGGAAACGTTGACAGCTATGATGACCACGTAAAGGAAAAAAGAGTGCAAGTCTCCTGAACCTTCAGAAGAGGAAAATGTCAACAGGTATATTGTGCACCTGTTGCAATTCTCTCTTCTACCCAGCGGTTAAAGGTGCAAGGGGAGCCCTGCCCTCCTTTTCCCCCTTTACCCGGGGGGGCGGGCGGGCGAGGAACACGCGGCCATCCCGAGGTCGGCTGGCCCTCCCACCAGCCGCAGCCAAAACATCTGGAAGGCCCTGGTCCCGCAGAACTTCCTTCCGCCCGCCAGCGCGAGCTCTCTTGCCGTCAAGCAACCTGCAGTTCACGGAGGGCGCCTGAGGAGGGGGCTGCTCAGGTTTTGCAAACGCTTCTAGCCGCAGGATCTTGCTTTGCGCCTCTCCCTTCCCTCGCCTGCTTGCAACTTCCGGCGCCGACAGCCTGTAGGAAGTTGCCAAGCTTCAGATGTGTCACAGTCGAGAGGAAGCAGCTGGAGGAGCAGCAGCCGGAGACGTTTTGCACCAGCCGGAGCGGGAGAAAAGAGGCGAGTGGGGCATCTCTAACTGCTCCTTCAGCCCTCCCACCCCGCCGCCAATTTTTTTTGCTTTATCCTCTGAAAGGGCAGCTCTGTTAGAAACGCAGAATCCTAAGATGCAGCCGAAGAAATGCGGATCCCCTTGGTTAAAGCAGGGCAGAGTTACCTGCCAGGATTTTGTTTGAGCCAAATGCAGCGTGGGAAGTTGGTCCCTTTATCCGAGGGGGTTTGGGTGTCTGCCCTGGAGCAGCTGCAAGAATAAGCAGCGCTTCGCGAGCATGTGCAGAGTGCCCGTTTCCTTGTCAGAAGGGGTGGCTTTCCTCCCAAGGCGAGGCTGGGCATTCTAGGGCACCTCACATTTTTTTTTTTTTAAACTAAGCTCTGTTATCATAACTCGTAGCAGTGAGTCCCTTAATTCTGCTACCTGTGTTTTCTGCTTGCTTGTTAACTCTTACCCATGCGAGGTAGGTCAATATTGCAACTGTAGAGCTGAGCCTGACAGAGAAGTAGCGTGTCTAAGGCTACCTGGTGAATTCAAGCTGTAGGTGAGAAATTTTAACGGGTCTGGGGATTTTCCTAGCTTATGGCTTAATACTGTGTGAATCTGCCTGAGTGTTTTTTAGGGGAACTTGGATGTTCATCTCACTCCTGAAGTACATTATGTTGTGCTTTTGTGAAGCTGCCTTAAGTTGCCTCTGGTGAAAGGCGGTGCCTGATAAATAGAATAACAAAAATAAAAGATATGCATGGGCCATCAATCTGTAATGGTCCTCCTGACTGTAGTCAGGTCACCAGCATCAGACTGTCTTGCACCATGGCATAATTGCTTTTATGGGACTGTTTCCCAGGTTTGTTTGAGTGCTTAGAAATCTATATTCAGATGCAGCCCTGGGGTCTAATCAAATGTGTGGAGCTTTCTCTAAAATCTGCCCTTTGTGTTCTCTGTTAATCGTCCAAGGAATTAGAGACAGACTTTCACCTTTCTGTTTAGATATCAGGCTGCAGCCATTTGTCAGTTAATTGGATTAAACGATTAAAAGTCTTCTGACTCATCAACTGTGCAGTCCTATCCCTGCTTAGTCTGAAGTTAGCCCCATTGAATTCAATGGGACTTGCTCCCTGCTGACTGTGCCTAGGGTCACTGCTTGAAATGGACTGTGATTAATTGTTCTTCTCTCTCAGCTAGGAGGGATTAACTTTTCCAAGATGGTGTCTTGCGACAAATGCATGCATCATCTAAAAGCAAAGCATGCTTTTCATTTTCATTCTTACGGTGTGTGTGCCAACTTAATTGATTAAAGAGTCCTGTGATTAATCCACTTTAACTGGATGATGATGGCTCTACTGTACAGGAGTGTGTGAGTCAGCCTTTCTTCTTGCTAGTCAAAGGGCTTGTCTGGTTGGGGTTTTTTTGGTAATTTGTCCCCCCCCCCCAGTGTTTCTATATGAATGATCCATGGAATAGATTTTTTTTTGCGTACAGTTTAGGATTGTGTGAAAAGTGTGATAAGTATTCCAATCTGCACTAGCCATTGTGACCATGAAAAGAGGGGGGGGGGTCAGTATTAATTGTGGAGCAACTAATAGAGAGTATAAAAATGTGCCTTCATGCAGTGCTTTTTTTCTGGGGGTACGCATACCCCTAAACATTTTGTGAATCTAAGTTTGGCCTCATTGAGGGGTAGTATTTCAATATGAGTAGGAAAATAAGAGAACCCCTAAACATTTTTATTTTTTTTAGAAATAAAGCACTGCCTTCATGTATATTAATTTGATATGTCTTGCTTCTCTAAACTGCACTCCTTTCCCTAAGACAACAGTTGGAGCTTGTTCAAAACTCTTTTCTTTTTTATGTTAACAGGGGTGGCAAAACAAACACCACACAACCCTTAAAGATGGTGCGGATTTTGGCCAACGGCGACATCGTACAAGACGATGACCCTCGAGTGCGGCAGAGCACTCAGAACAGAGGAACCTCCTCTCGGCCGGTGAGGAGAAGACCTTTATGTGGTGTTTCAGTTTTGCTGGGAATTATTATATGAGGAACTTGAAAGGCTTCAATATTCCTGTTGCAAATGGATGCTTAATTCTGAAGTTTGGTCGATCTGTTCAAAGATTACCCTTTTAAGTACATGTGCATGTTTCCTCTAAAGTAAATTTGCAAAATTGAGCCAGGATTGCTTCCAAGTAAGCATGCACAGAATTGCATTTGGGCACTGTAATCTGAACCACCTTTGTACTGAACTTGAGATGGAGAGGGGGAGTTGGACTGGACCACAGTTCCTAACCCTGCCAGTCACTGCCCATGTGGAGTTCCCTATTCCATCTGCAAATATGCAGGCTGTCCGGTGAGATTCCTGAGGTGGCAGCCTGCAGAAAGACCCAATATGGGGTCCTCCAGGGGCAGGAAGGAGAAACTTGCTGGATCCTGAGTCGTCCCCACTGCTGTCACTGGTGCAGCAGATTTGCCCACCCTTCTGGCCTGACTGCCACGATCAGCAGGGCTGTGGATGCTGTAGGGCCTATGTTGCTGCCTAGCCAGGGTTCACATGGCAGCCTTAATTGTGAATCATCAATACTAATAGGGGTTTTAGTTCTCTGAAGTCATTGCATATCAAAAACAACACCATTCTCATCCTAGAGGGGTTATCAACAGACTCAGGGAAACACCAAGGTTTGTAGATGTGTGTTCAAAAGAAAAGCCTTGGGTGGGTGGGGTGGGAAAGATTAAGGGGGGGGGGAGAGGAGGCCCAAAAACAGTTTGGTGAGTACTGAGTGTGCTCACTGGTTACAAAATACTGACTTGATTATTTGGAGCAGGAGTGGGACATTGTCAGAGGAGTTTGTCAGTCCTTTTCCACAGGCAACCCTAGAAATTTTAGTTCTTTGAGGGAGGAACAGCAGCTCTCAGCAGCCTTGATGAATTACGATTCCCATGATTCTTTGGGGGAAGCCATGACTGAAAAAGCTGTATGATACTGCTTCAAATGTATAGTGCAAATGAAACCAGGGACAGAACATGAGGGAGGAATGGGAGGAGGATGGGATATCCTGAAAACAGGAGTAATCCACACTGCAGCATTTTGTTTCTGGCTCCATTTCTGTGTAGGCGGGGAGCCTTCTTTGGCATTTTAAGTCCAGCTGTCATAGATAGGATTGCAGGCTTACTGTTTCTTAAACCATGTTGGTTTTTTAAAAAAATTAAGTTTTCTGGTGCATTTTAATGCCTTGCACTATTTTTAAGGATGAAGTAGAAATTAAAAATATTTTTAAACATTGTCTGTGGAATATGCTCACCGAAGAGGGCTGTAAGTTTTTCTGTAGTTTCCTCATTTCTCAAAACTCTCTCTATGGTAGTACCTGCTCTTTGGAATCTATGAACCACTCAAATGGCTGCATTTCTGGCTCTTTATGACTTTTACTGTATCTGTCAAACTGGATCTGGTGCCATGAATTCACTCTGTTTCTCTGGGGTTCCTCCGCAGGGTTTTTTCAACATGAACGCAGGCCCTGCTCCACAACAACACTACCGCCAACAGCAGCAGCCGCCGCCTCAGGATGCAGCAAGGCCAGGGGAGCGCTCACTGCTTTCAGACATCAATCAACAGTTGGTGAACATGGGATTCCTCACGTGGAACCTTGGAAACCAGGTGGTGGAGCCAGTCATGTCCATCCTGCTGCTGCTCCTTCTCATGATGGTTGGCGTGCGTGGCCTACTCTTGGTGGGCCTCATCTACGTTGTCTCTCACTTAAGCCAGCGATGACAGGGACTTCTCTACAAGCCATGACTGCTGCTTGGCGGATGGAGAACCACATTTCCTTATCCGGTGTGTGAGCCCATGTTAGAGAGTGTGGGGGGGGGGGTCAAATGTGCCCCCGTTGTGTGTATGTGTGCCCATATGGGCTCCCACCCTCAAAATGTTATGTAAATAGATTTTGTAGGGAACAGAAATGAGTTGTGGGGGGAGGCAGTATATGGAGTGCGAGTTTGTGAGGGTACAGTTTTTTCTACTTCAGTTGGCTTCCTGCGGAAGCATGAAAAATTACTTTATTTCAGTGGCACAAGGCTCACTACATTTTTTCTCGTTGTGCTGCTCAGATTGTAGCAGTTGGGTGTGGAGGCAATCTCAGGGTTGTTGGTTGAAGCTTAGTTTTTTGACTGAAGGGGTGAAAAGGCAGCAGGTGGATCTCTCATTTGTTCTCTCAACAAAGCGCTTAATGAACCTCGTATGTAAAAGGCAGTGTTATGAGATGACTAAGTAGGCATTGTTTATTGCCCTTAGAGAGGAGGTAGGTAACATGATAACAGAAGGTTTAAAGCAGAGGTGGGAAATGTGTGGCCCTTCAGGTTCAGATGGACTACAACTCCCACAATCCCTAGCTATTGGCCATGCAGTTTGGGAGTGATTCGAGGTGGCATCTGGCAACATCTGGAGTGCACCAGGTTGTACAAGGCTGCATTACACTCATAATCTGGGAGTCGTAAAATGGATTGGGTTTGGTTTGGCACTCTTGGTCATGATCCGACCTTGAGCCTTTGCTTCCTTTGGTTGAAGGGGAAGACACAGGCCCCACATCCCTGGTTTAAAGCAAGTTATATAGGTATAACACCTATCACTTCTGAGATGTGTGTCCAGGTTTTTTAAAGACAGGCATGTGCATGAAGATTGATTGAAAACCAAGCTTCTTAACTCAGGTCAGTCACAGGATTAAAATACCATCTCCAAATGGAGAGAAGCTTGGGTTTGTGTGGAAATGTCGATCATGGAACCACACTTTGCATAGTTGATAGGAGGCCACTCTGTAGCTAATCAGCGTACATGAGGAAGGGCAATTCTGAGAATTATTTTCCATGTTGGGAGCTGTATGTGTGGCCTCTGTACTTTGCATTGTCACATACACAGTCCCCATGCTGGAGGCAACAGTGCTGATGAATGGTTGCCTCTGTGTGAGTGCTGGCTCCCTGGGTGCTCACTTGGGGTCTGCCTTAAGCATGAAACCATCCATTGTCTCATAATGTGTGTGTGGTTTGTGTGTGTTGCAGTGGGGGAGCCTTACTAGGTGAGTGTGCAGTGGGCATGTGTAACGTGGTTCTCACGTCTGTTAATTTACGTGAATGGACATTTCTGCGTCCTTGCAAAATGACCTGGTGGGAGAACTCCCCACCCACCCACACTTTTTCCCCTGCTAGTGGTGGCCTCCTCTTGAAAACAGGAGTGGAGGAATCTAATCCAAGCAAAGGAAAGCTTTGTAACCACCTCCCTCAACTCTTTGTAATACTAGTTGCAAACTGTTCCTTAATACACATCTTTTGTTCCTTTCCAAATGGCTGTGGCTTCCATTCCTTTATGTGTTTGATCTTGGGCTGCTAATAATGAATGCTGCAAGCTTAAATGAAAAACTGGCTATCAACATAACTTATATTTCAGATTTATCCTGTGGACGTAAGGCAAGTTACAACATGTTTAAAACCAAAAGTATTACATTAAGCTGTAGAAATATAACATCCACAACACTTTGAACACTCAAATGACTAAACCCTCCCATCTGAAGATACACCAACAGCTTGACAGTGGCTGCTATAAGCTGATATAAACAAAAATACCTCTATTTGCTTTTGGAAGTTGTTTTGCCTTGTCTAGATGAAGGACAGATCTGAACAGGACAGGCTGTGAATGGGTTAGAATTTATTTTTGGGGTGCCTTTCAGCCAAAAAGCCCCCCAAAATGGTTCACAAACATTTGTCCGTTCTTAAACCTCAGCATATTCTGTAATTTTAAACAAATGCAAACGAGGAAACTTTGCTTGTTCAGGTTAGTAAGGTAGCTTCCAGCTTTTCAGTCACTCACTTGGTTAGCAGATGTATCAAAGAGAAGGCGGCAGTGCTGGCTGGGATCCAAAGAGCCACGCCACTGGTTCTGCTCACCCAGGGGCTGGAGAGACAAGCTTGGAGAAGTAATGGGGAGATGCTCAGCCTCTCCGTGCTCATAAGCAGTTTTAATGTGTGAGTTAGGAGCTCACAGGATGTGGCCGCAACAACTTCTGGGGTCTTGATTGCTATGATGAGGATGATGAGAATGATTTTATTATTTATATGCTTGGCATGACTGGGTTGCCCCAGCCACTCTGGGCGGCTTCCAACAACATATTAAAAACACAGGAAACATCTATATCACTAACTACTGGGTTGGGAAGCTGACCTGCAATAATCTGTGACCCCCCCCCCCAGTATTGTTCTCTCACTTGGCTTTTATTCACCCGCATTCGTGGATTGTCTGAATTTTTGAGGGAACCCCCTGTCAGAGGTGGTCCTTCAGTGCTGGCAGCCACTATTGTGAGTTCAAGTAACAGAACTAATCCTGTTAGCAGCTTGCTCCTGTGCTTGCTGTAGAGGTGATGCTCCCTACAATAACAGAACAATGGGTTTAAGTGGAAGGGGGGTGGGTGGCCTGTCCTCCGGGTGCATTAATCTTCAATCCTAATCGCTTTAAATAACCATGTTCCCATGATATGTTGTATTTGAAACATGTCTGCTCAGACTTGAGGGCCGAGCCTGGCTCCTTGAGGGTATTTGCCATGTATTTGCCTGTGTCTGGAGTGGTAAATGGCGGCAGCAGGAGGCCAGGCTGGGCCTGGTAGGTGATGAGGCTACAGTCCCACTCCCTGTCCCAGAATGGCCTGCTTCCAGGCTCCCTTGATACTTGGGTTTTGGAGGCCATTTTGTAAACCCATTACTAATACCTTGACATGGTACTATCTGCATGGGTGAGCTTCACAGACCGTGGGCTCACCTGCTGGTAGGGAAGCTGCTATTTAACGTGTGTCACAGTGCCCAGGGCATTGTGGAGAAATATAAATGGTGACATGCGGACCCAGCCACCTGGGTTCTGTGGTCCTGCTGGGGCCCTGGCAGCTGCTGACACCAGGCCAGTTGTGATGGCTCATTCACCTAGGGATCCCTAAGATTCTCCACTTCAAACCCAGTTCCTGACATTTCTGTTTCCTTGGGACCTTGAGCTTTCAGCTTTCCTGACTAACATGTGCTGTTTGGGCTGGCCAATATATGTGTGTGTCACACCACAGAAGCGGACCAGTTGTGTGTGGTGGGGTGTGTTGTGGGGAGGGAGCTGGTGTTGGAGAGCACTTCTGAGGCATTGTCGAGAGCGCCTCCAGTTGCAGCTGCTTGCTGCAGCATGAATAGCTTCACAGCTCACTGAAGAGATGACCGGCTTTAATTTGAGTTGAATGGGCTCCTCCCTCGATCGAGATGACATTTTCATTTCAAACTAACAAGGGGAGAAATCCAATTACACCACAAAGGGGCTCCCTAATAAGCCATTCAGGCATGTGGGGTGGGGTGGGGGGCTCGAGGAATGGGTTGCGGAGGGAAACCCCTCAGGCCATCCATCAGTCACACAAAGCAAGGCCGAGGGAGGGAGGGAAACACTCAGCCCAGCTTTGTACGTGCGGGACTCAAAAGAGAGCATCATTCTGAAAAGTTCAAGAGATGCAGAGAGCGAGCAGTGCTCTGCCAAGAAGGGGTTTAAAGTGTCACTTCCAACTGGCTGGTTTTCATGAGTGCATGTTTACACTTCAGCCACTATATTGATCAAACATGGCTTTGTGAGTCCTAAAGTGTTGGGTTTGGAAAGCCCAGGATGTGAGAGTCTCTCTGAGTGTTTTCACAGGTGATGTGAAGGATGCTTCCTCTCTCTCTGAGAGAGTTAAACTTACATTACTGCACCACCCATTCTTGTAACATGGGAAACATGCTGATTTCTTAAAAAACTAAAATGACAGTTCCTGGAAATGTGGCTATCGACTAGTGGGTCTCAGATGTATGGCTGCTGCATGTTTTCTCCACTTCTCCACCCACCCTAATAATGAGTAAAACAAAACATGGCACAGTAGGTCTTTGCAAATAAGCGTTTCCCCCTCCTTGCATGCGACAACTCCTGAGGTTGCTCCCAAAGGGCATGTTGCAGGAGACTGGGAAGGTGGCATGTGAAAGTGGCACTCTTCATATACTTGATTCTGAACAATCTGGTTTTCCCTACTGCTGTGTACAGGTACCAGACTTAGCAACGTACATTCTTGATCTCCAGTTGCCATAAGAAAATGTGGCATCTATTATCTCCTGGTTGTCTGAAAATAACAAACTTGGTATTTTCTAAAAGGCTTCCCAACATTAACTTACTGTGGGTTTCGCTTTAAGAATTCAGAGCAGCCCTGGATCAGTTGCTGTTTCTGAAACCAGTCAAACTCATGGAGCTGTTTAGGGAATAAAAAGTGGGTTGAAGGGGGAATAAACCTTTACCAGCACTAGGTATGTATGTACAGAAAACTGAGTGTGTTGGTAGCAGAGGGGCTGGGGATCACAGCTGGAGAAGGAGGGGAAATGGAATGGAGTATCCTGAAAATGGACATGGTTCCCTGCCTGAAACCCTGAAGGAGAGCACTCCACAAGGCAATGTCACAGGTCCCACATGTAATTGTTTAATTTTTAAAAAATGTATTTTATAAAGTGCATTCCTGTCCCAAGTCATTAATGAATGACATGCTATTATAAAACAACTGGTATTGATCCTTAGTGCAGAGAATGAAAGGCAAAACAACAAATCAGGGCCCATAATTATTGGAGTGCTGTGAAAATAACCACTGAGGGGGCAAATTAATTTGTAAATTTAGTGTAACTCATCTATATATCTGGCAGTACCCAGGAAAAAAAGTAGCAGGTCTTTTGCCCAAGTACCGTAGGTGTGCCACCTGGTGGATATTGTGCAGCTTAATGTTTTTTCTGCCATAGTGTGCTTCTGTGTATCTTTGCATCTTGAAATACCAGAGAATCTTTGCCCAAAACTGTAACACTGAATTCCTTGATGGTTGAGCAAATTACAGTCTCTGGCTGAGGAAGTTCACCCATCCCTGAGAAGCAACCAACTAGCAACCAACCAACCAATTAATTTTAAATCCATGTGAGCCGAGGAGGGGCAAGTTTGTGTTTTCCTGTTATCTCCACTAGATGGCACTGACCCCCTGTTAACTTGCTCCTGTGGATGAGAGAAGAAACGACTTCATAGGAAGAAAAGAGAGCTCAGAAGGGGAATGAATTACATTTGCAAATGTGAAAAGGAAGCCAGTCGCCTTTCAGTGCAGTCCTATGTGGGAAAAGCCTTTTAATTCCAGCTATGTTTGCAAGGTGAAATCAGGCTTGTTTTACCCAATTCATGGACAGAAGGAGAGGAGGGCAAGTGCCTCTTCCCTCCCTGTTAGTTGTTGTTGTTGGCATCCGTCTGCCTCGAGAGATGATGGAGCCTGTCTCTGGGGGTGAAGTCAAACCACTGCGTTATCATCACCAAAGTGACCTCCTTGGGGCACAAGCCTGGGCAGTGTGTATGGAGGTCCTGGGCTGCCCAGATGACAAGATGTGGTCCAAAGGAAAAACGAGCAATATGTTAGGCACCAGCTTGGCTGCAGGAATTGCCGGAAGGAGGCGTACAAGGCACCATCCAACAGTCTTATTCCTTAGCTTTTTCTTCTCCCAAAGATATCCTGCAAGGCAGAGGAGGTTTAGGATTAATTTTCCTTCTCTTAGATGGGCTATCTTCCCAAGTGGATGACCCTCATCTGCCCCTCACTTCCCTCTAAAGCACTTGCAGAAACCACCTTCTTCCCTGTTGAAATCAATGGGCTCAACTTACTTAACATTGATTGTAATAGGTCTATGCTGAATATGCCTTAGTTGAACACCCCCCCCATGGCCAAGAATAGAAGATTACTGAGCAATTTTGAAAGAGAAGATAAAAAAATATATAAAAATAAAAATTAAGAGAAAGCTGCATGGTATTTTAGGATTTGGACTATGCTCCAAATGCCAGTCCAGTATAAGTGAGCAAGAACTCTGCCAATGCTGTAGCCAATACAAGTGGCACACGGACTCATGCTTATCCCTCTAGGACTCCCTGAGGAAGCAACTATAGAGGAGGAAGCAGAACTGTCAAGTTGTCCTTGAACGTCGTCTTGATGTCAATTCTGAATGAGCAGTCTACTCCTCTTTCCCTGATGTATGTATGTCTAGATTAGCAAAACATTGCAGTAAATGCAATTTAGGGCTTTGTTAGTTTTTAAACAAGCTGCATCCTCAGTCTCGTATGCCCAAGGCAGGTTGCCATTTCAGGCGCTATGTCAGAAACCTTTCTTTGGTTGCAGCTGCTAAAAGTTGTGGGGAAAGGGGAAGAATAGGATCCAGGGGCTCAACTGCTACTGCCCTTGCTGCTGCCTTCTGCTCAGCATGGAGGAGGTCAGCAGTTACTCTGAACCCAAGTCAAATTGGGAGTGAATTTACCTATATGGAGTATTATCACAAATTGAGAATACACCCATCTCACAACTCGAGTTACATGACCCCTACGGCATGCTCCAAGCCCTGCATGGGTCCACTCAAGCCACAGTCTCAACATACACATCTTGCTTTGTGACACTTGGGTCTCTCCCTTGCCAATCTATTTCAACTATCTTTTCCCTGGCTGTAACAATACAACAATAATCAATAACCAACAATTTGCTGCCCTTTCATGACACCCAGAATTGACCGCCTGAGGCAGCTGTCTATTAGCAGGGCCAGCGTCCTGTCCTGGAAGCTAAAGGGGGTTGGATTACAAAGTATTAAACAGAGATTAAGTACATCACATACTTTTTGGTCCTTGTATCAAATTGCTGTCACTGAAAATTGGAGATGTGTTTTTTTCTGTAGACTCTAAAGCACAGCTGTAGTTGTATGCTGACAATCTGATGGACCCTTGACTCTCTTTTTCCCCTGTTACTGAAACAGGCTATGCACTATCACTTGCCAGTCAAACCATTTCGTGCTATGCAGAAACACAACATTCATCCAGCCTCTCCTTTAGGACTCATAGTGTTTCTAAGTGTATGGGGGAAAAGTAACATTTTAATATGCACTCTGTGTGCTGTTACAGTGTGCAGATCCAAAAACTACAGAAACAAATTACAAGCAGCCAAAATATGATAAACCGTTTCAGCTTTCCTTCATTATGGTGAAGTCCATCTTTACTGGATCTGTTGTTAGGGAGAGATAACTCTATCAACGCACGTTTTCTGCTGATGCCTAAATTTATTTATTTATTAGACTATTTATATTCTGTCTTCCTGAGACAATGCTTCATGCGACTCACATTTTAAAACAAGAATAATTAAAAAACAAACCAATTCAAAGTAAAAGAGAGTGAGAACTACACATAAATATATATATATATAATCTCTTTAACTGCGGGGTGGGGAACTTCTGGGTCCTGGGCCCAATTAGATCTGTCATGGATCTCAATTTGGCTATGAGGCTATTCCCATTCCCAAACCATGACTGCCTGCCCCACACCTGATGTCATATATAATATCAGAGATAGGACAGGTAGAAATGTGGCTGTCAAGGAAACATCAAGAGCTTTCAAGTGCTCCTGATTGCTCCTTAGCAAAGGAGGATTGCTGTTGGCACCAGTCAATTGATTGGAAGGGACAACAAGCTTGCAGTGACTGACAGCACTATGCAGTTTTCCCATCAGGACCTTCATGGCACACACAATCCCACTGGGCTGCCTGTAAGCGACAAACAGGTGATGTGCAAAAGCTGACCAGACTGACTGACTCACATTGACACTGGCAGTGGGACAGCATCCTCCATGTCAGCTGAAGGCAGCAAGGCACACACAGCTCTGTCTACTCCCAGCCCATCAACATTTGTCGCAGGAGGCAACTGCCTCACTCTGCCTAAAAGCAGGGCTGGTCCCGATTGGAGAGCTGAGCAACTGAAGTCAGTGACAATAGTGTTGTCCAGTGGTTTCCCTGCAACTGTGGAGCAGCTTGCAGATGTCGCTGTTCTTTCTACACTTAAGGCTCAATCCAGCACTCTTGTAGTTGTTGGCATGACAAGGGTAGGGTCATGTGAAACTTTCTGCCAAGCAGGATGCAGGGTTTAATTTGCCATCTTTAATAAGTAAGAGCAGGAAATGAGAAAGGAGAGGTTAACCATAAAAAGGAGTCTCGGTGGACAGTTCTTAGCTTCACGAAGCATCAGTGTTGCTTTGAGGAGGCCAACATACTGTTCCATTTATTCACCTTTCCCTTGGCAGAGCACAGCCCTGGAATATATGAGAAAGCTACAGTCTTAGGCCCAAATCCTTCTATTCCCACCACATCTGCTGATGCTAAGAGGGAAGACAGATGTAGCATGTAGGGAGGGGGGCAACCTGGAAGCACACCCACTGTGTTCAGTCGATGGATGCCTATCACTCTGAAGGGCCAAGCTAAAAAATGAATCAACCTATCAATCAATAATTTCCTAGAAGTTTGCAAAAGATGTCAGCTATGCATCATGCTAAGTAAAAAAATCCTTTAATCCTGTAATGCCACCCAAAAACCTCTCTTCATTTTTTATGATGATGCTGATGATGCAATGAAGAACTGGGAAAATGTGTTAATGGTTATGTGACATTAAAGAGAAGAACAAAGGCGTACGACCTGCATGAGGTGAGGTGGGTGGGAAGATTGATGGCTGTCCCAGCATCCGATTCACTGGAATGTCTGTCTGAAGTTGCAGTTGTAAGGCCGGGCAGCAATTATTGCCAAAGAGTGGGCTGTTAGCTTCTTTCCCCCCTCCCTTTACAGCTATTTTTGCTCTCATTTGGATTATTACCAAAAATCTCAGGAATATCTCTTTCTGTTCAGCAGATCCCAACATGGACCGTTGCCTGATTAAGATCCACCTAATTTTACACGCGGTCAGTGATCTGGAATTCCTCCTGGGAATTGAATGACTTTTTCATCAAGAGCAGGATAATTTGGGAGGCCCAAATAATTAGAGGAGGTTTTTGAGAAGATAATTAGGAGCAGAAAGCTTCGGGTGGGTGTTTCTTTTCTTTTTTTGTTCCTGTGCCTTTGGAAAAATCCACTTCTCCTTCAGCACATCACATGTTTGTTACACGGAAACGTCCATAACAATTCTGGGATGGCCAACGAAGCATTGCACTTTCCTGGTGTTTCTCCATACATATATTAATAACTGTGAAGATAGGCAAATGCCACAAAGCGTGGATAGAATTGCACTAAAAACTGCCTGTCCTTCTCATCAGGAATCTGAGTTTTCTGAATTCCCTCTCCTACTCCAAGAATCTTGGTGGAAGAGTGGTAGAGTACACACTTTGCATGCAAAAGCTCCCAGGTCCAGTCTTTCCAGGCTGGGCTGGGAGAGACACTTGCCTGGAACTCCTGCAGTCAGTGCTGCAATACTGAACGGAGCAATTATTTCCCTTGGTGTAAGACAATTCCTTGCTTCACTTCTACACAGGGTGCCTGCAGACTTTCAGTATTTTGCAGAAGGGATTGAAGCACATGCAAGAGTTTCAGGTTTGCACAATTAAAATGGAAAAAATGCCCTGTTGCCCGAGTGCAACAAATCTACTTTTTCACACACACACACACACACACGCACACACAAACAAACACACAGGAGTTTTTGCAGTTTGGCACGTGGTGGTGAAACGCACTGGAAAGTGTAGAATGAACCAATGAATAATAGAAAGATGTAAATGCCCTGCAAGTAATTCTGGATGAATGCTCATTGTTCATACAACTTCTCAAATAAACTAGAACGAATGCTCAATAAGGGCTGGACATAGTCTAACCACCACACAAATTCCACAAAGTCCTTTTAAAGACTATTTTGTTATTATCTGACATCCTGTTTTTTAAATCTCTTTACGCTTTTATATTGTGTTGTGTATTTATTGTAAATCTCTTATTTTTAATGTTCTTAGCTGCTCCAGGAGGTGTTGCTTTTTAGCAGAAGATCAGCTTAAGCTCAAAATCCTATACATGTTAACTCAGAAGTCCCACTGTGTTCAATGGAGCTTGCTCCCAGGGTTGCAGCCTAAACTGTGTAAGCAAAAGCGAATTTTGTACTCTGCTTTTATTTTATTTTTTGCACTGCCTGAATCATAGAGAAGACTCTGTGGAAGGGACATTCCTTGATTGCCTTTCTGCTTTTCCTAAATGATGCTCTGGCTTTGTGGTCTAAGGTGACCCCAGTGTGAACCTCCTTCAAGTTTGACTTCATTTTCTCTCTCTCTGTCTCTCCCTCCCTCCTGCTAGTTAGTTTCATTCCCCTGTGATGGCTTGATGAGAACCAGACTTAGAGTTAAGGTTCACATATTCTCAACAGGGTTAATTTTTGCTTCCTGTGTGATGGCCGTGAAGAGCGAGTGCCACAGTGGAATCTTTGCCTCTTCTGCAACAGGGTTCATGGATATTAGCAATCCACCAATCTCACAGAATTGACCTGCTATATGACTGTGGTGACTCTTCCCACATCTGTGTTGTCTCAACTCCCTTTAGCACCAGGCAACTGTGAAACAAGCTGTAAGTCCAGGAATAAGGAAGTGCATGGTGCTTCTATCATGGAAGATGTGCAACCACAACAAATGAGCCAAACTTGAAGAGTACAGACTGTATCTCCTTGAAATCAGTGGTAAAGCTTCCATTAATTTTAGCAGGTCTAGATCACTCTATAAATCCAGGAATTATAGTGATTTGGAGGTTGAGCTAGATAAATCTTTGTTTGTCTTAATAGCACTGTTGTATCTTACCATGGCTGGGCATCCTGGCTAATATAGCTGTTCCTGTAACAGCATTGGATCAAGTAGTATAATGAGAACTATTGATGGCGGGACCTTGTGATTGATCTTATACACTGTAATCCAGGACAGCAGTTTATGGGATTGGACTGTTATCAATTCCCTTGCTTTATGTCAAATAAAAACCACTGCAGCACCGGATCATTGTAAGAAAGACTTCACTCTGAGCTGGAAGTTAAAGAGGAAAAGTAAGTAAAGTTCCATTGTGCAGGGGGAATCATTAAAAGTCAACAGCATTGCTTCTGAAAAATAATGTAGTTTTTAGGCACTATTCAGATTTAATTCTCCTAAGTGCTATTCATAATGCAGGTTAGAGCTTTTCCTTTCTTTTGTAATCCAAATTAAAATCCGTTTTTTAACTACAACCCTCTCAATATTGAAATGGCACAATTTCCTATATTTATTTATGGCCGGCTGCAAAATGATTTGCAGAGCAACTTGGGACTCCATCACTGCTGCTACTGGTTTTGTAAATGATGTCACTTTTCAGCAAGAAGACCACAGACAGCAGGAGGCTAAGAAACAAATTACGTTTCCCAGGACCTTTGCAAATGAGATGGATCCCTGGGATGATAAAGGAAATTTAGTCCTGCAATTCATCAAGATGAGATGAATTTTCATGGGGAATGGGAAAATTTGTTTTCCACTGCCTATAGCCTCAGATCTTTCCCAGGGAAGTTCCCTGCCCCTTCTAGACTGAAGGGTGCCTATTGAAGCTGATCTGGAGGTGTTGATATAACACTGACTGCTCGATAGTTTGAACTTCTAGTTAAAGCAGAAAGTCAGGGAAAGTGTTTGTGTAAGGGGAACTTATTAGACCATGTTGCTCTGCAAAAATATGCCCATATGTTCTTTTGCAGTTTCCTGGCTCTTGGTTCTCTCTCCTCTCTGCCACGGAGGTGTAAATTGTTTCCATGAGGCCTAGAACCAGGGCAGGAACCTTGTCAGTTCCTGTCACAAAATGGAGCATTCTCACTGACAACTGCTTGGTTGTCCCAATACAGTGCTGCCATGGCAACAGCGAACTTCACCTCAACCTCTTCATCGCACCCCTGCTTCTTTCTGAGAGACTGAGACAAGGGTTAGCAAGGAGCCTGAGGGAGACAGGGATACGATTTCATTTAATATCTGTATGCCGCTTTCGCAACAACAACACTGAGCTCAAAGCAGATGCAGATATATACAAAGTACAAAGTATTTCTGTTGCTCCAGCAATTCAAGATGAAACACAGACCCCGACTCACGCTTCCGGTCAGACTTACTCATTTTGCAAGACTGGCCCTGACACACACAGCTGATGTGCCTTAATCACTAATATAGGTTGCACTGGGCTGTTGCCATAGCAACTGGCTTGGCTGACCTTGCACCTGTCGGCTTACCTAACACATGGGGTGATTTGGGCTCATGAAGGAAATTAACCCCCTCCTCCTTGTCCAGTTCCTCCAAAACAAGTGACAGAGCAAAGAGAGGTGTGGATAAACCTGTAGTCTCTGTGTGGGGTTGTGGACAGAAGCAAAATACACTGATTCTTCCGGTCTAACCCATCAGTCTGGAAATGGCATAACAGATGAGGGTGCTGGAAGAGGTAAAGGTGTGCAGCCTTTCATCTACCTTTCTATTTTTTCAAGGCTGATCCACTTTTGGTTGAAACTTTGTCATTGCCCAGATTGTCCCTAGCAGTTATTTACACTGGACAATCAGCTGTGGAAAGCATTTAAGGTGAATGCAGTGTCTATTCACGCTGCATGCCACAGCAACCTCAGTGAGGTTGTTAAGTATCTTTCACATTCCTTTTCTCCATTTTGTGCCTCAGGGAAGGAGTTGGAGCAACCTCCCATCTGCCCTCCTAGACACTAGCTTGCTCTTGCCCATAAATTAAATGATAAAGATTTAAAGAGTAAAATGGGATAGCAAACATTCAAGTGGAGCTTATGTATGTACCTGGGAATCGGGCCATCTCTCCACTCAGATGCTCTTTCCAGCTTGGTCTGAAGCCACGTGGGAGGAAGAACTCATCTGCAGAGGACATCACACCACGTGGCTGGAGGGCTGTGCAGGCCCGGCTATACCATTAGGCAGCGTGGGGTGGCCACTTCAGGCTGCTAATTTTGGATGTGTTCTGTATTGAAGTTCTCACCCTGGCCACCAGGAGTATTGTGTATGTAGTTTTCACTCAGGTCCACGTCAGTTATTTTAGGCGGGAAACCCTGGGTTGTTGCTACAATGTTGACAGCCGGCTGCCTATAAAAGCAGGCCGGCTGAGCTGTTTGCTGTTCAGTTCTGTGACAGCTTACAAATAAAGAGCTGCTTTGGAGAAATCGCTGTGTCGTCTGCTATGTTCACCCACAATTCAACAGGATGTCCCCCCAAAATGGCAAGTTATTACTTTATCACTTGCTTTTCCTGTATTTTTACTTCAAGGGAGAGGGTGTTTGGGATTTTTCTGTTTCTAGTGCCAAAATAACTTGACTAGCCTTAGGTACAATGCACCCACCTTGGTGTTGGTGGGGACGGGTTGACATTTGCTGTTTGAACTCAGACAGCAAATACTTGTGTTTATTATTTGCATTTATGTCCTGCCCTTCCCCACAGGGGCCCAGGGTGGGTCATGAAAGTATAACAATTAAAAGAGGTACAGTTACAAACTGTAAAAGAAGAACCACAAGAACAAATCATATTGGAATACAGTGGTACCTCGGGTTACAAACACCTTGGGTTACAAACACTTCAGGTTACAGACTCTTCTCACCTGGAAGTAGTACCTCAGGTTAAGAACTTTACCTCAGGCTGAGAACAGAAATCGCACGCTGGTGGTGTGGGGGCAGCAGGAGGCCCCATTAGCTAAAGTGGTACCTCAGGTTAAGAACGGTTTCAGGTTAAGAACGGACCTCTGGAATGAATTACCGTAAGTTCGTAACCAGAGGTACCACTGTAATAATTCAGGAGCACAAAACAGTCGTGCTAGGAGGAGGCAAGAGATCCACTCTACCAAAAAACTGACCAAAGCATTTAGGCTCATCATGTTATTATTATGAGTATTGTTGTTTTATTGTGACCTTGCTCCAAAAAACTCAGAGCAAAAAACCTCACAACAACAGCCCTATGAGGTAACTTCATCCATTTGTGGTAGTTGCCCAAGGCCAAAAGGGATTTGGCAGCTACAGAATAAAATATCTTGGGACTCGTCTGACCGGTGAAATAGATATTTAAAGAGGTCGTCCTTATAGTCGTTTATTTTATTTACTGTAGACAATACACTCCACCATCGCTGCTTCCGGCAGAACCCCAAACGCTTCCACCTGGAACAATTTGGACAGGCCCTATATAATGAGGGAGCAGAAAGGCTTGTAAAGAGACTGACAAACTGACGTGTTGGCAGGCGTATGCTCCACGTCTGAGTGGTCTCTTCAAGGTTGGATGAGACATCTAAGGAGGCCTCTCCCACGCTGAAATTTCTACTATATGCCCATCTGGACATTTCCCCTCAAATAAGTCTCAGGTGGCTGCAAACATGCCTGTTTAATCTTGCAAGAGGATGCTAAGCTTTTATTATCACATTTAATGTTGGAACACTGCTCTTTTCCATACGGAAATAAATTGGAAAAGAAATTCAAATGGATCCCCTGTATTTCAATCATTCTTCCTAATTGCTCCAAGCCTCCTCTCTCCTTTTTCCCCTCCAAATTTTTTTCATCCTGCCGGATTGTTTTCTAAATGATGAAAGGCATTTTAATTTTAAAGAGAAGCAGGCCCTGAAAATCAAAGCCCCTGCTTAAGATTTCTCAGAATTACTGCAACTGGGGCTAATAAAGCCAAGGTTATGAAGTGACACAGAGCCTGGAACAGTCAGGCTCGTTCCATAATACACGGCTCAACAAAAATCTCTTCATACTACGTGAAGGGGTGGGGAGGTTATGTAGAAAAACGGAGCAATTTCCCCAAAGTTTGGTTGTATGGCAGAGTGCTTACAAATATCTGTTTAATGCACTACTCTCCCACTCCAAAAGAAATTGGCAAATGTTCCTGTACAAAATGTTCATTATATAAGATGCAGTCCATACAGTTAGTTACTTGAATAGACCCTGGAGCAAAGGTGCCTTCTGCCTAGGATACTTTTGATTTAGCAAGCTCAGTTTCAGAATGCTTTGTTTCATGCTTTCTGTCTCCCCAGAGTTTGGACTTGATATCCCACCTTTCATCCCACTAAAGGAGCCTCAAAGCGGCTAACAATCTCCTTTACCTCCCCCCCCCACAACAACAAACACTCTGTGAGGTGAGTGAGACTGAGAGACTTCAGAGAAGTGTGACTAGCCCAAGGTCACCCAGCAGCTGCATGTGGAGGAGCAGGGAAGCGAACCCAGTTCACCAGAATACGAGTCCACCGCTCTTAACCACTACAACATCCTGGCTCTCGAGTGGTAGGAAGCTCCAGAGCTGGGTTGTTACAGGTCAGGGCTGGTCCCGCCCCCTTTCAATTTTTTTTGTTTCATTCATCTTTTGCTGAGAAGCAATACCAGCCAAGAACAGCATTCAGCGAGAACAAGTTCACAAGCTATAACTTTCCTTATGAGGTCCCCCAAATTCGTGGGACTTCAGGCACACCTGGAACTTTTTTCAGCATTTGGCTGTCACGTACATTGTCCCAGGGCCAAACTAGATTGAATGGTGAAGATCTGCAATTAAATTATGGAAGTCACAGGTGGGGATTCTCGACTGGAGCTGCAGCCCTGAGGGATGGAATAGGGAAATATTGTGGACATGGCAAACGGCAACTTTAGGGAGCCATATAAGGTAAACAGCATGTGGGGGGGGGGGAGGATGAACTCTCCCTCCTCTAGCACTGTTGTCCCAATCCACACCCCCTCCCTAGTGGCATAGTGGTAAATTCTGCAATGCAAGTGCTCTCCCTGACAACTTCCCACAGCCACACCCATTCTAAGACTATGAAACAAAAATGAACTTTTGACCAATGCAGATATTATGGCTTCTATACCAAACCAGGACGCGGGTGGCGCTTTTAAACCACAGAGCCTAGGACTTGCCGATCAGAAGGTCAGCAGTTCGAATCATGATGGGGTGAGCTCCCGTTGCTCGGTCCCTGCTCCTGCCAACCTAGCAGTTCGAAAGCACGTCAAAGTGCTAGTAGATAAATAGGTACCGCTCTGGCGGGAAGGTAAACGGCGTTTCCGTGTGCTGCTCTGGTTCGCCAGAAGTGGCTTAGTCATGCTGGCCACATGACCTGGAAGCTGTACGCCGGCTCCCTTGGCCAATAAAGCGTGATGAGCGCCGTAACCCCAGAGTCGGCCACGACTGGACCTAATGGTCAGGGGTCCTTTACCTTTACCTTTTTATACCAAATCAGCATTTCTCTCTCTCTCTCTTACATGCCCTCCATTTGCTAAGCTTACAGCCTGACAAAGAGTTCTGCCGGATTCGTAATGAAATGATGTTGGGTTTTTGTTTTTTTCAAAATAAAAAAGTGACAATTTAGCCTTCAGCTCTACATGCTAATTCAACCTACCTCTTCCTCTGCTTAGCTTATTTGGTGGGCTTCTCTCTGAGAAAAGCTTATATATTTGTCAGGCACACGACTGTCAAATAGCAGCCTCAGGTGATGACATCATTGTCCCTGCTGTGAAATAAGTGCTGGCACACTGCCCTTTCCCTTCCCTGTCACACTGTATTGCTGCCTCTCCTTCCCATAGCTCCTATTTGCCAGGATAGAAAGAGACAAATCAGGCCCTCCCTTAAAGAGGGCACGTATTGTGGTGAGACCTGGAAACCGACACCCTGTGTTGTGGGTCGGTATGATTGGTCAGCCACAACACCCGATTGGTAGGTCCCTTGTGAATGGGTGCAATCTGGCCAATGGGACGCAGTCCAAACGGTTTAAGGGACCTATTTATACCCATGCACGTGACCCAGAGCTTCCTCTTTCGGTGCGTGCATTCGGAACACCCGCCCACCTCTCCCTACTTTTAGGGTTTTGTGCTTGACCTTGCTATGCCTTCATGTGTCGTCTGTCCAGTGGCGTAGCGTGGGTTGTCAGCACCCAGGGCAAGGCAAGTAATTTGCGCCCCCTAACCCGTGGATTTTAGCACTCGAGTCTCGAGCGCGCCCCCCCCAGATGTTGCGGCCGGCCCCCCTGCACCCCCCACGCTACGCCACTGCGTCTGTCGTTGGGACAGGGGCATGGCAGGAATTTCCCCCACTTGGCTGACTGGCTGTTGCCATTTGGGTTTTGCCTGCCACGTAGCAAATCGTCACAACTTATAAGGTTGCGGATAGGCTCTGGTTCAGGATGGGAGAACGCTCTCACCATCCCTATGTGAAGGGTATTCCATTAAAGGAATCCAGGGACTCAGTGGTTTGGTCAACCCCTGAGAAGGGGTTCTGCCCGTGCCTGAGTCCAGGGGGACATTTGGGTGGCGGAGATAGCCTGTTCCCAGCTTTCCGCTTACCCAGGTGTTCACCCTTGGCTGACCTATGCTGGAACCCTGGGTTAGTGCTACATCCATGACAGGGAGCTAGTCGAATCAGAGCCTATGCAACCAATCACTTTCTGTAATCAATAAAGTTGTGGCCTAAATTCTGCCAAAAACCAAAACCAAAATTTGAGTCAAGTGTGAATTTATTCAGGGGGGAGGTTTCTGGGTCTGAACACGCAAGAGATCCCATTGTTGCCCCTCAGTCAAAATTAGCCCTCAGCAATCCTTCTAGTCAACAATCCTGTGCAGTTGGCCCGTGTTCTTGTCATCCTTATATTGCAGATGGGCAGTTGAGATTGTGAGACTAGTGGCCTGCCTAAAGCCACCAATGAACTTGAAGGCAGTAGTGGCTTTGAATGGAAACTTCTTGGCTGATCACTCAGCCTTTCAGCCTCACCAGCTCCTTCCTTCCTTTTATCTGCCACTGGCCTGCCATGTGTTGATGGATAAGTCACTTTCCCCTGTGAGTCTCCTTTACTAGGGGTAGGGAGGAATTTCAGCCAGAGGGCTGCATTCTCTTCTATGAAACCTTATGAGGGCCACATGGGGCCTGAGCATTAACAGTAAACTTTATGTTTGTACAGCCTGGACAATGAGGTCCAGCTCTGAGGGCCTTCTGATTGTTCCCTCACTGTGAGAAGTGAAGTTACAGAGAACCAGGCAGAGGGCTTATATGACTTTTAGAAGACATCTGAATGAACCTTTAATGCTTGATGTCTTACTGTGTTTTTATAATTTGTTGGAAGCCGCCCAGAGTGGCTGGGTCAACCCAGTCAGATGGGTAGGATACAAATAAAAAGTATTATTATTATTATTATTATTTATTTGGCTAGTTTACCTAAACACAAACCTCTATCTTCCATCTAGATAAGCAAGAGACATTATCAGAGTTCAAGGACATATTCTGGTCAGACAAAAACATTTGGGCTATGAGACAGGACCAGTGAGGTGAGTCACCTGAGGAGAAATCTGAGGGCCAAAAAGAGAGAGGCTTTGGAGGGCCACATTTGGACCCCAGGCCTGAGTTTCTCTATTCGTACTCTGTACACATATACTAAAAATACCAGCACCTGGCATTGAATACTGAGACCATGTTGCAATAGGGGGACGCTGCGAGAAAGTGTGTGCTTTTGTGAACACCTCACAGGGAGATCCCAAAGCCAGGAGAGTAATTGAGACAAGCCATTTGAGAGCTTTAAGCTAATGGACTAAATTCCAACATTATTCTGAAAGTGCCAGGAATGGGCTAAGCTTGAAAGAATGCTGGCAAATACTTGACATTTTCGCAGCACCCAAACTGCCTGCCCTTACAGGGCGCCATGGGAGCAGGAAAGACTTAAAATGGAATTGGCATTGCTGAGAGCTATCCACTTGCCTCAGCAAGGAGGAATGCTAACCCATTTCAGTTCAGGGAATAAGAGATTTGGTGGGAATGGTAGGAAGGAGGGGCAGCAACAAGGGGAGGGGGATAATGCAAAAACTTTTGTAGAGCAATTTAGAACTTAAGCGGGTGGCCCAAACACAAGCCCCGCAGCTGACGTCAGGGGCTACAACCCCGACTTAATAATAAATAGGTTTGCCTTCTCTTTATTACATGGCTGACATTCTTCTCATACAGTGGCTTCTGATAGCTTCAGAACAACCAGCCAGGCAGGGACTCCTGCAGGGGTCAGTTGTGCCATGGATAATTAATACTGTTTGACCTTGCATAGAGCCAGTTTACTTGTTTGAGAGCACCGGGCCTTTGCAAACATATCTCAGAAGTAGACACAGTATATAAATGTAATGAATGTGCTGCTGTAAACATTATAAATTAAACAGACTGGAGTCAAGTGTGGGCAAAGGAACTTGACTCTTATCATGATCTATAAAATGGCTGCTTCTCTAAGTTCCTGTTTCTTGCTTGGTGTTCCCCAGAACGGCTTCCCTCACTACAACCACACATGGAACACTTTAGTTCCACTTATCAGCTGCTGTCATCAGAAGGAAGAGGCCCTCTAATGGACATTTTTCATTATCAGTCCCCAGATCCTTCATCAATCACCTCCTACAAATGTTTATTATATTTAGTTAAATTTCATGAAGAATGAAATTCATGAAGAATGAAACCTTGTTTTCATGTTCTTTCTTTCCTTCTTTCATGTCTGTCTGTCACTGTGGGCAGGAACTGTGACCATTGGTCCACCTAGTTCAGTATCACATACAGTGACTGGTAGCTGCTCTTCAGGGTTTCAAACAGGAGTGTTTGCTCAGCTCCACCTGGAGATATTGGGAACTGAATTTGGGACCCTTTGTATATGGACTATGTGCTCTACCACTGAGCTATGACTATACCCCTGACAGATATACACAGAAGGAAGTACTATTGGTTTCAGTGGAAACCACTTCCACTTAATGATTTACCCTTGTCTATGCCTGAAGGAAGGCGCAGCTTCTTTCAGGGCCTCATTCAGCAGCAACAACAACAAACTTTGGGAAACACATTCATTCTTCACCTCAGTTGTTGAGGAGTGGGTTTACATTTTAAAATATTTCATTCATGAGTAAGTGTTAGGAAAATATGCAATTTTGGTAAGAACACCAATATTTTTCTCTCTCTTCCCTACCCCCATTTACATGGATGTTTATTTGGGTTGCAACCTGGTGGTCCTAAAGTTTATCATGTAATGATCCCTTTTGCTATCACTGACTGTTTTGAAGAGTTAAACACCATATACTGTAGGACGGTCCTTAAGTGCCTGTAGGAGGAGCTGTCTTTCAGCACTTAGTACCATGTGTGGAATAATCATCAGGAGCGGAGGAGGGGAATGTGTAGCCACAGAATTCATTTCCTGGCAGAAATGAGGAAGGCAGCATGAAATGACTGGCAGTATCTAGCTGACTGTGAAGTTACTAAATAGACTGTTGGGATCCCTGCACTTGGTTGGGAAGCCCCAAGCCATTTAGAGATGGTAAAACAATATCACAGTAGCCCTCTTGAGACTTGTCTTAAGATGAAGACTTATGCAATATTCGTAGGCTGTTTGAGTTGGGGAAAGACGGCTGGTTTCAAAAGTGCCCTCTTACCACATTAAATACAAATATACTTTTTGTCCCAGAGCAATCTCAAAAAAAAAAAAAAAAGTCCCTCTACATTTCCAGCACAGTCAGTTTGGACAGGTAAAGCTAGTTTGGAAGGTTACCCATTGGCTAGTATCAATGATGTCACTGACACATTACTCTCAGTAGCATTTTTTTCAACTGTTTTTAAAAATAGTTGTTCAGGTTTTGGTACAAAGGGTGAAAATATAAGAAAAAAGAGCCCCACCTCCCACACAAAGGTGAGCATGAGGGACATGGCAGAGCTGCAACTGATTTAGTATATGTTTGCTAGAACATATGCCTATAGTGTGTTATGAGAGCAGGATCACACCACAAGTGATGCCTCTTCAATCTTTTGCTTATCTTCAGGATTTATTTGCAGCTAGAGACCAAGCAAAATGTTGAATAACAGGCAAAAAGCATGAATGCCTGTATTCGCATTAAGAACATAGCTTAAAAATCTTGATCTGAAAGTAATGCTAGGTTTTTTGGTTTGTAAGTTTTTCAATAACTTCTTTTTATTGAACTGAAGTTAAAAGCAAGATGTTAAAATCGTATCAAAACTCAAATAACATTGGTGGAACCCATCTTAACATGCCAGGCGCAGGAAAACTCAGGCCTAGGAACCAAATGTAGCCCTCCAGACCTCCCCATCTGGCCCTTGGCGCACTCCCCCAGGCTGCACCCCTCCTGTTTCGCACACCAAGTCTTTGTACCTGATTAGAATGTGTCCCTGAATTTTTGCTTGTCTGGATGGAGAATGGAGAGGCCTATGCAGGAACCAGCCTACTGCAATTTGTTCCTCCGCCAACCTTTGCCTCTGGATCTGCCCACAATTGCTATGTGGCCCTCAGGAGGTTGGCCAAAAGAGAATGTGGCCCTTTGGGCTGAAAGAGATTCCCCACCCCTGCAATATGTGATAGGGATTAAAAGGCCTAGGACTTTTCACTTGCCTAGCAACTAATTGAATAAAGTTGGCCAAGTGTGCTCCACAGATAGCAATGATTAGCTGTTACACAAAGTGGGGTTTCTTTTGACAGCCAAGAGGCTATGGCTGAAATGGAATGAGAGGCAGCTCGATTCACAAAGAACAAATAATAAAAACGATTCCTTGGAATTGATTCTAAGATCTTTTGAAGTATGATCAAATTTGTGTCCTTTAAATTTGCAGTGGCAGTAAGCATGGTTTCAGCATCTACCCTGAAGATGACACAGGATATAATTATAAATTGCCCCTCCCTGCTATTGAAGCCCCAGTAGCAATACCAAGGGGCTTCTAAATAACAGATCAGCTTCCGAGCAAAGCCACAGACAGGCATGGAAGGGCGACTACTGTTCTGTGACTCATTCCGAGATTCCATCTGTCCGCCCTGCCTTTGGCAATTTGTTATTCCCATTAAGGAGCGCAGTCTTCCTTTCCCAATGGAGTTAACTGCAAGCCTGAGGTCAGAAGTGTGTTCTTATAATAAGTGGTCTGAAAACTGTAACAGGCAGAATTCAACAGGCTGTATTCAGCCCTTCCTCCCAAAGGAGACTATGGCGGTAGTGTATTGATGCTGATCATTTATGTTGATTTTAATGTTTATTGTATACGTGATTTTGGTTTTATTGCCTTTTATTGTTGTGTTTTTACAGTGTTGTACTCAAGGGATCTTGCGATGAATGGCGGGTTGGAAAAACCATAAACACACAAAAAGCATCATGCTGCTGAGGTTCTCTTCGCATCTGGAATGTGACAGGATCAGATTTTTTCTCTGTCTCTAAATCATAGAGGTCACCTGATTGTGTGTTTGTGTGTGTCCAAAATCAAGGCAAGATAGTGGGTTGTGGAATCAATACATTTATGAGACTGTTTTCATCTGTCTCTCATACAGATATAGCAGTGAGTAGAACGAGGTCTTGATGCTGGGGCCACCTGTAGATAAACATGAATTAGAAGGGGATAGACCTGGAAAGTAAGTTTTTCAGAGTCCAGGCCGATCCAGGTCTCACCACCACTCAGTAGATTTGTTCTCTGATGCTAGTTATGTTTCTTTATTTGGAGTATTTACTTACCTGGGAACCTCTATGGTTTTTGCTGAGCACCATTAGCAGTTATATTGTTAGAGGTGAAAAACACACTCTGATTCTCAGACATGGTGACTGTGTGCCTCCTCTTTTACATACCCAGATTCAGCACTTCCCCAGGTTTGGAACGGTTTCCCTCCTTGTCTATGTGGATAAGCCATTAAAGAGACAGATGATTCCTGCTGGGCAGAAGTAAACCCTGCGGTCACGAGAAACGGTTCTCTGGTTACGTCTAGGCAGGTGGATAGACTGTCTAGCCAAATGTAAACACAGCCCATGTTTTCATTTTCTGCTAACACCTGAGAATGAGTACTCCCACACAACTGAAAACCCCTAGGAGGTCCAGAGGAGCCGGAATCCAAGGCAGCTACTGCCAAAGAAAGTCAAAAGACAGGATAACCGAGGGGGGAAAAAGTGGGGGGCAGATATCCTTTGCTGTCAATTACTGTTATAGGAGTGTTGGAGCTGAAGAAGCACCTTTCACCCATCCAAAGGACGATCAGCTCCCCTTGACTGTAAACCACCATCTGAGAAAACACTGCCGAAAGGCCTGTTATGAAAAAATAAACCTCATATGCTGCTCCTTGTAACTCCGAACCAAGGCAAATAAATATCAAGCTTTCCTCAGCATATAATGTCAGCTTGTCTCTAGTGCTTTCAAATATAAGCTGCCTTCAATGTAAATATCTATCAGTCTATCCATCTATCTAGCTGTTGAGGAGGATGTCAAGGTAAGTAACTAGTGTATGACTGGGAAAATATATCTCAAGATTAGGGAAATGAGGATTAATCGAAAGAGCATTATTCCACAAAAGCTGCTGTAAGAGGAAGGTGGAGGTGTTTTGACAAAATGGGATTGAGGGGAATTGGTGCATAATGCAGCAGCCCAGGACTAGCTTACTTCAGCACCCATGCAGGTTTGGCAGCAGGGAAAGTTACATTTTCCTAATATTAGGCTTGACAAAAAGGGGGAGGAGCTTGCTACCTCTATTTCAGCTGCTCACTTCCTTTTACATTGCATCAGTAGCAGACACCACAGTGAGGTGGTAGTGCTCACCTGACCTCCCAACATCTGAGTCGCTGTTGCTTTCCGGGAATGGAAGGGGAGAGGCAGTAAGGAAGTCTATGTGATGCAAATGCATCTGCAGGAGTGCCAGGTTGGCTCCACCAGTGCATTTGCAACATGCCAACCTCCCCACTCCCTTGTCCCTCCCCTTCCTGGTAAGCAGCAGCGACTCAGGTGTCAGGAGGTCAGGTGTGCATTGCTTTCCCCAGCATACTGCCCATGACTGCATTATGTATGTAGAAATTCTGCATACCAAGAATGGAAAGCCATACTTGTCTCTTGCCCCTTGTTATGAACACCAAAATATGATATGTTCTGCGTAATCATTTAGAGCTGTGCTGGGTGCTGGTGGCCCTCAAGACGTTTTTGGAGGCCAACTCCCATCAGTCCTAGCCAGCATGCCAACAATCAGGTTTGATGGGAGGTGTAGTCCAACAACATCTGGAGGGTCCACTGGTTCCCCATCCGTGACCTAGAGTGCAGACCATAAAGAAGGTGAATGTGTGGGTGGTGTTTTTGGGTGGGTGCTTAGGTGCATGCATGCACAAAGTCTCTTCTCATATATTGCTGCTTTGAGGGGAAAATATATTAAATTGAATGGCTATCCTTAAAGCCTCCATTGATTTGCAACGCTTCCACAAGAACTGTGAACACAACCAAAATCCTCTGCTGTTGCTCACTTCTCAAACTTTGTTATGTTCAGTGATTTCATTCATGAGAACCCTTCTGCTCGAAAAGGAAGATTGAATGTGACAAGTTCTCCAGTATTCTTTATGGCTTCAGCATTTCCTCCCTCCTCCTCCTCCTCCCCTCTCCATTTTCTTTGGCAGTGAAAAAGGAACATTGCCTGGACACTGCCAGAGAATGCCTAGCTTGGCACAGGTCACCCCACCACCTCCTTCAGTGCAGGCCTGCAAATGGACAACTTTGAAGAAATCTGTGCAGCAGAAACGTCAGAGGGGAGATTAACCTTTAGAAAACCCGCAGGTTACAGATACAGCAACTCATACCAAATAGGAGTTCCAGGGCTGAGCATTGGAGATGTCAGCAAATGGCAATTCCAGAATGTTCAGAGAGTAGCAAGAGTTGTGTGGGATGGACAAACATTTAGTTGTGTGTGGAAGAAATGTTCCAAATAATAAAAGGACTGGGACAGGATCACTGCAGAGGAGGAAATAGTATGCATTTTTCTAATTTATTAGGCAGGGTAATATTTCATGAATTCTCTCTCTCTCTCTCTCTCTCTCTCTCTCTCTCTCTCTCTCTCCATATCTCCACAGACAAGTGTTGTGCAGGTTCACATCCCTTTTTCTACTCGAAAGCTCCCAAGACATAATTCTGCCAACACAACTCAATTTTGACTGACAACACTCCTTGCTTTCGTCAGTCAGCACACCCCCTGGGGAAACACTAATTGTAGCTTTCTGCTCTGCTGACAGACTGTTCCACCAGCACCCATCTTACCCTGTGAACTGCCACCCAGTTCTTTGTCCCTTTTACAACCCATCATTGGGATCCATCTTCACTTGAAATTGTTAGGGCAAATGAACCTCAGTTTTACTTGGAGCAAGCATTTAACTTCATAGCAACTGTTCTAATGCTTAATCAGCTACAGCAATAACTTCCCTTTGCTCAGTTAAAAACAACACTGCCTTCTTACATATAAAAAATGGTATCTTTGTATGGCTGAAGCTGCAATCCTAAACACACCTGCTAGGGAGGAAGCCCCATCAATCTCAAGGAGCTTCATTAACACGTAATCCCAAAATTTTGAATGCCCTCCAAACTGATGCCAAAGTTTACATGTTAATGAACCTATCTCAGGGGGACATCCTGGGCTGTATCCAAAGTAGTGCTGAGAAACGCTTGAGTACTGGAATTTCCATTCTCCCTCCCTGATGCACACCCCCTAAATCTGTTCTAGGTGTCCCCTCATCTCTCCAGAGCAGATATGGGGAGGGCACAGGATGCACATCGCAGCCTTTCCATCCACATTCTTGAAGTAAGCACAAGGGTTCTGTATGCACAAAAGACTACTATGCAACATTCAAAGGCTCCGGGCACACCCTCCCAGGGATCATAGGATAGCATCCTAATTGTTTCCCATATATAGGTGGGGAAGCTCAGGCTGGGGAGCTGAATGTGACCCTCTAAACCTTTCCATCTGGCCCTAAGCACTTTCTGAAAGTTAGCCCCCACCCTACCTAGTCACACCCCCTACTGGCTTCTCTGGAAACCTCCTTAAGTAGTTTTGCCTGGCTGCAATGCATCCCTGAACTCTGATCATGCTTCTTGCATTCCTGTATGGAGGTTAGTGAGGGGTGTGTCAGCATGTGTAGAGCCTAGCTCAGTACACCAAGGCAAAATTTACATTAATTGTTCCACCCACTTTTGCCTCTGGCTCCACCAACCACCAACATGCTACCCCCTCTCCCAAAGGTTGTTCCAAAGGGAACAAGATGCTGAAAAGGTTTCCCTGCCTCTTCTATAAGTAATTTATCACATTTTACGCAATAGATCACAAAAAGTGTATTCCTTGTACATCGAAATGTCCCAAGAGAAACGTCTGTCAGTCTATCAGTGTTTCTCACTCTTGGGTCCCCGGCTGTTGTTGGACTACAACTCCCATCATCCTTGACCTTTGGTCCTGCTAGCTAGGGACAATGGGAGTTGTAGTCCAACAACATCTGGGGACTCAAGTGTGAGAAACATTGATAGACACTGCTTCAAGACATGGAACGCTTTGTCTCCCCATGGCAGTTTGGAGGCCTGTTACAGCCACCTGTAATTGGTTCTCAAGTGCAGTCAACACATAGGGAAGACCATTCCTTAGGTTTAAAGCAGATTCATTGTGGGAGGGAGGAATGAACAAACAGGAGAGGGGTTGGGGGGTTGTGTTATCTCTCAAAATGAGAACTAGGGAAGGCAGAGAAGGGGAGGCTTGCTCCGACAAGGAACAGGAATCAGGCTTCCAATAAGCAGGAGAGGCAGGTGCAGTCTTCAGCTCAGTGGCATATGTTAAATTGCTCCGAGGAACTTTTCAAGCCTCCCTTGTAAAAGTCCACATCTTTCTCTCCGTATTTAAAGCATCTTTGTACAGACACTAATTCCTCAAGTATCCAATCCGGGATTGACTTTTAGTGTGTTTGTCCAGGCAGGCTGCCAGCACATCCGTTCCTACGACGCTCCCAAGCTCTGACATTTTTGTTAACACTGCAGTAAATCACAGCAACTGCTCCACATTTTCACAAAAACATAGAAGCGGGTAGACTTGCTAGGGGCACACAACAGAAGTACAAACAGCTCTCCTTTTCTTTTAAAAAACGAAATAAATCCTAAATCCAAGGATGTGGGGGGTGGAGGGGAATCGCATGAAAGAAGAGCCAGCAGATGGGAGAGACTGAGGAATGAAAATACTGCAAAATGATGACTTGTCACTACTGTTTGGTGGCAAATGATAGTATATAGAGATTAGAAAAGCCTCAACATTTTCTTAGGTTGACTTTGTCCAATGGACAGGGCTAGGGGAAAAACCTCTCAAATTGTGGTAAAGTTGCTGGAATTCTGTAATCTGAACTCTTGGTTTACAACCCCCCACTTCTCCCAGGCATCAGAGGGAAAAGAAGTGATTTGGACCATTTAATCTGTTGGACTAACAGTAGCAGCAGTTTCATACCAGATTTCAGCAGGGAAAATAAAAAAGCTGGGAGTGGGGAGGGGGAGAACACACAACCTGTGGTGTTATTGAATACCACCCACCCACACATATTGGAGTTGGGCCCATAACCCAAGGCTCCTTGAGTTTTGCCAGTATTTTGCCTCTCCACCCACAGACTATGCTAAGAAGCGCATTTATATGCTCGCAAACTACACCACTTCTCTCACCCCTCAAAATACTCTGACAACTTAACACAGTTGCTGGTGACAGTAGCCTGCTAGCAATTAATTCTCCTCCCATCAGTGAATTAGAAAAGCCCTTTTTTCTTCTTCTTAAAGCCTTTTAAAGTAGGGTTGCAAATTTTTAATGAACGTTTTTAAACAAAATTATTTTTACGAAAATTCGCCAACAAATCTACACTTCGGACATGCGTTGGCATACACCGGGTTTTCCCGGACATTTTGGCTGTTTTTTGCAAATTCTGCCTGGACACTGTTTTTGGCGGAAGAATCCCAGCTATGTCCAGGAAATTCCGGACATATGGCAGCTCAATTTTAAAGGCTAATGGTGTTAGTGCTCTTATTGGTGGCTATGTGGATGGCAGAATGGCAGCAAGTCCTGATGACTCTGAAGTATGACTTGTCATCCCCTTGAAACTCTAGCAACAAGTGTTTTAATTTGTCATGGTAATCACTTATGGAACCGCATTCTATAACTTCATGTCCACACCTATTATTATTATTATTATTAAAATTCTATTTAAAGCATGTGGCTTCCCCCAAGGGACCCTCAAGAGCTACAATTCCTAGTACCTGTAATCAGCTCCAGTTCAAATATATGGTGTGGACATGGCTGATAAGAGACCTGCAGAAGGGCCTTTCC